GACTTCTGTCTGCAGCTTCTGTGTTCACCGTGTTTCTTTTATTTGTTCCAGATCCACCTCCGGCCGCGATGTCCTGCCAGCAGAGCCAGCAGCAGTGCCAGCCCCCCGCCAAGTGCCCCCCGTCGCCCAAGTGCCCCCCGAAGAGCCCCGCCCAGTGCTCGCCCCCAGCCCCCGCAGGCTGCGCTCCAGGCTCCGGGGGCGGCTGTGGGCTCAGCTCCGGGGGCGGCTGCTGCCTGAGCCACCGCAGGCGCCACGGGTCCCATGGCTGCCGGCGCCACAGCTCTGACTCCTGTGACGGTGGCCGCGGGCTGCAGGCCGGGGGCTCCGGGGGCAGCCATGGCTGCGGGGGCGGCTGCTGAGCCGGGACCTTATGCTGAGACCAGGCTCCCAGAGGAAATGGGAGTCCAAGAGCCTGAGAAAGCTCCTCATGAAGCAGCCTTTCCAACATCTCCCTCTCTGAGCTGAGCAGATGAACTGCTCATGGAAGTGGGGAAGTGGGGAACTCTTCCCAGAAGCCTCTGTGGATGTCTTTCCCAGGAGCCCTGGGCTCCCCCTTCTCCGTGCTTCACACCATTACCATCTTTGTCTGATCTGGTAGAAAAATAAAGCTTCTTATTACCTCAACTGCCTCCCACTTGTCCTATGACTGCATTGTTCAAGGATGCTCAGTGGGTCCCCTCCCTGAACTCCTGTGGGTCCAGCATGCTGGCACCAGGACTAATCCTGGTGCGGGACTAAGACATTAAGGGGTCGTGTGTTTCCCCTACAGAAGGACCCTGGGAACCTCAGGCTGGAGGTGTGGACAGGAGCTGCTGCCAAGGCCTGACTGTGCTTATGTGACATGGTGGAAAGGGAGCATCTGATGCTGGAATCCACATCTCTGTTGAGGGTAGTATAGTGGATCAGAAATTGAGAAAAATGAGACCAAAGAGGAAGCAGAAAGGAAGGTCTGGGGGAGAAAAATCAAGTTAACCTACAAATGATGGGTTTGAGAGAGAGAGATGAGCTGCAAAGTTAATAAATTCCAAAAAATCTGAATTGAGGGTTCCCTGAGAGATTACTGGGGCGTTCAGTATGTGAGGGACTCTGAGTTTTGAGAAAACTGAGAGAAAAATAGAACGTGAGAAATGTCCCCGGGGTTTACAGATTGAACACCTATAAATTTCTTTCAAGAGAGCTCAGGTAGGATGGAACTCATTTTCATTATTTCTTTGGCTGCTGAATGCTACTTTTCAAAGTCAAGGTGCCAAAGAGACATGGCCAGGCTATAGTTACATGGGATCCCAAGTGGGGGAGCTCTCACCCCAACTTTGGAATAGGGCAACATTTATCTATATGCCAAACTGAACTGGTCATTCCTGATGAGAACCAAGCATGCTATTTCACTTGTATCACTAGATTTTTTGAAATAATGGTACAAAATAATGGGGGTCTGTTACACCCAAGCCAGGAGGGCTCTTGAAATGATTTCAGAAAGATGAAAAGACATAATGTAACTGTAGCTATAGGCAAAGTTGAAATTTTTGAGAGAAATCAGAGTTAGAGCATGGAAATTATAGACAAAGGACAAAACCAGTCTGATACTCTGGGAATTCAGCTGGATTAAGTACATTTTTGTCATCTCATTTTTTAAAAAATGAAAATTAGTTTTGCTACAATATTATTGGACATATAATTTCTTGAGAAACCGGAATAAATAGTGTCCAAATGAACCCAAATCTGTTCTGTCAGTCCAATCACTTAACTTGCTTAGGAATCCCTGGGGAAGTGGCCACTGATGTGGAGCCTACATTCAAGCAGGCTTTGCAATGAACGTGATTGGCTATTTGCTCTTGGATATTTGAAACATTCTTGAAAGATATTCTTTAAATGTCAGAGTTAAAATACATAACAGAAAAAAGGAAAAAGGACACATAAGCTCTGTGCAGGGAATTTGCTGCCTGCTGTTGAAAACATGCAAGCCACCATATTCAACCTTGCTCGTGCAGTCAAAGTCACAAACATCGATGAGTCTGTGCTGCTTGGCCTCAAATCCACAGGGACCATGTACATTTCAGGTGGCTAGCAACTGAGATTCATCCATCAAATTCTAGCTGCATAAAATTAACTCAGGAAACAACAGATGTTGTTGAGGATGTGGAGAAAGGGGGACCCTCTTGTACTGTTGGTGGGAATGCAAGCTTGTCCATCCACTCTGGAAGATAGTATGGAGGTTCCTCAAAAAGTTGAAAATAGAGCTACCCTGTGACCTAGCAATTGCACTACTAGGTATTTATCCAAAGGATACAAAACTGCTGATTCAAAGGGGCACATGCACCCTAATGTTTATAGCAGCGCTATTAACAATAGCCAAATTGTGGAAAGAGCCCAAATGTCCATCAACTAATGAATGGATAAATAAAATGTAGTATCAAAAAGAATGAAATCTTGCCATTTGCAACAACGTGGATGGAACTAGAGGGTAGTGTGCTAAGTGAACTAAGTCAGCCAGAGAAAGACAAATATCATATGATTTCACTCATATGTAGAATTTAAGAAACAAAAGAGATGAACATAGGGGAAAGGAAGGAAAAATCAGATAAACAGAGAGGAGGCAAACCATAAGAGAGTTCTAAATATAGAGAACAAACTGAGGATTGATGGAGGGGAATTGGATAGAGGGTATGGGCTAAATGGGTGTTGGGGATTAAGGAGGGCACTTGTGATGAGCACTGGGCCTTGTATATAAGTGATGAATCACTAAATTCTACTCCTGAAACCATTGTTACACTATATGTTAACTAACTTGGATTTAAATAACATGAAAAAATTCTAGCTGCACATCAGCAACTGGGAAGCAGTGTAATAAGAATACAGAGTGCTTAAGTTCAAATCCCAGCTCTGTAACTTAAGAGCTCAGCAAATGACCGTCAGTGTCCTCATCTGAAAAATGGGGTAATAATATTGTGCTTGGTGTGCTGACTAGTTTATGTTAATGTAGGTGCATAATGCAGAACATTAGTTAAATGTTAGTTTTTATTGTGATTTAATATGAAGAACTAAGGAACAAAGTTTGGGGTTCAGAATCTTCCAAGGATTCCTGCTGTTGGTATATCTAATCTGGTTGAAGGAAAAAAGAAGCAGGGTCAATGAATACAGTTCAGACATGAGATGCCAGAACAGTCACGGGAAGTCAGAAGTAATTAGGCATGGTTCCAACACTATACGTTGTCTCCAGCAGGTGAGGTCCCGGTAACTGGAAGAAAAATCCATTCTCTAGACTTGGCTAGGGCTGCATCAAGCCATCCTGGTATCCATCAATTCATTTTTCAGTCGTTCATAACACAAATACTTACTGAGCATGTCTTGTGTGCCACCTACCATTCTAGGCAATGGAGATACAATGGGAACCAGACAAAGTTGCTGCTCACTTGGAGCAGACACCCAAGTGGTCATGTTGCAGGCAGGGACTGATATTTGCTTGGTCTGCACCCAGTGTGCTAAGGTTTCAATATTTATGTCTCCCCCAAATTCATATGCTGAAGTCCTAACCCCAGCGTGATGGTGTTAGATGGTGGGCATTTGAGAGGTGATTAAGTCCCATGGGATTAGTGTCCTTATAAAAGAGACCCCATGTCTTTACCCATGTGAGATTGCAGCAAATAATGGCCATCTAGAAAGTGGGTGCTCACCAGACACTGAGTCTGCTGGTGCCTTGACCTTGGACTTCCCAGCCTCCAGGACTATGAGAAACAAACTTCTGTTGTTCATAAGCCACCCAATCGCTGGTATTTTGGTATAGTTGCCCAAATGGAGAAGCTGGATTCTCATCTCCTGGTGTGTGCTGGGTACCAGCATAGGTGGAATAAACCCAGCCTTGGCAAAATCTGAGGCATGAAGATGTTGAATTGTGTGGGAGTTAACAAGGGCATCTAGTGACAACTGGCCCCTCCGCAGAGCCAACAATGTAGAGGGAGGAAGACAAGTCATTAACAGAAAAAGGTTAGTGGGGGCCCTGCCTACTATTTTTGCATCACAAACCACCTCAAAATTTAGTGATGTGAGACAACTACTTTAGTTTCTAACAGTTTTGTGGGTCAAGAATTCAGAGAGGGGGCAGCTGGACAATTCTTGTTTGACTCTTTCAAAAATTTATAGTTAGATGTGTACTGGAATTGCGGTCACCTGAAGGTTTGACTGGGTTGGACTCCCAAGAAGGCTCACTCGGATGGCTGCCTATTGATGCTGGCTGTCAGATGGGGGCTTTACAGCTGGTACCTATACCTGCCTCTTTGACATTATAGGGTTGTCCTGAGACTTCTTGCATGATACCTGGTGTCCCCCAGGGATTGCCTCCCAAGAGCACCAGATGAGATCTGCATAACCTTTTGTCATGCAGAAGTCACATGGCGTCATTTCTACGACATTCGGTGGGTTAAAACAACCACAAACCTGCCTAGATTCAAAAGGGAAGAATACAGTCCCCATCTCTCAATGAGATATATTGAGAGACATGTAGTCAAAGAATTTTGGGAAAAGTTAAAAAAACATCATATGGGGATATTGAACACTGTCCTCATTCTTTCTCCAGTTTACAGTACTTACTACTGAAGCCCCAGTGTAAATTTATGTTCCCACAGTGTTTTTAAAGGACTCAGCTTTTGGCCATGGTTATAACATATTCAAGCTTTGAAGAGGATGGCTGGTCCTGTAGCTCTGATGTACCTAGAATGTCCAGAGTCATTATTGCAATGGTAATGTCTTGTCAAAGATATCAGAAGTTTTACCTACGTCACATTAAATTATTATTTCATCCTAGGAAACCAAAATAAAATACAGTGAAAAAAATGTTACAAAACTGATATATCTACCAGAAACACTAGTAAAATGAAATCTGTCACCTCTATTACCAATCACATCATTACATTCTCATCAATTGTTATTCAAATCTCATCTCCCTTTCCCCCCCAAGCTTTCTGACCAACAGGACGTGAGCATCCCTATATCTAACCCACTCTTATGACTCCTTGAGCAATAGCACAGTCAAACATCATACTTAGGTTTGCGAGTCTTGTCACTTTGGCAAGTGTAGACTGCTAATCTCTGGTTCTGCTTTTCATTCTAACATCTCTGGTGCATTTTGCCTTTAGTAGTTTTAGCTTTGTTTTTTTTTTTCCCCCTTAGGCATTTCTAGCTTTATTTTCCTATTTAAAAAAGAAGAAGGGGGATAGGATGTCTGACTCCAATGTCTATGTTCTTAGGCAGCACACTGTCCTACCTCCCATTATCTTTCAGATCCAACTTCCTTTCAGATCCAACCTCCCTTTCAGATCCACCTTCCCTCAGATATCAGCTTTATTTCTTCCTTCTTCCAAGAAAC